ATAAAACCTTCTCATTACACTTTTTAGCCTATTTGATCACGAATAGCAGCATCGGAAGTACTGCCACGGGCGGTGATATTACTTGTGTATTGAAGCGATGGCCAAAGACCTTCCCGTGGGCCAACAACAACGCGGGGACAGAACACACTACAGGGCAGATGGAATTGAGGCCCATGGCAAGGTTGACCTCTATGTGAGGAACATCAAGCGCTGCTCGCGAGTCCAAAAGGAAGCCAATAACGGCCAGCGCGACTACGCGTTTGTCGATTGCTTTAGGAAAACCGGCTATAACGTCTAGCTGAGTCGGTAGTGCCCAAGAGCGGAACTCAAAATCCCCTCTTCAATGACCTTCGGATGGCCATCAAAGTAGCATGAGCTCCACCAGAGATTAGGGATTCTCGCGGGATGAGAATGTTGATGAGCTCCTGAGGGGCGGTCGATGGGGCCATGTGCTCTCACACGCTTCTCTCATTGGCATCGTATCCTACTCACCCAACCCCAGACAATCTGTGATCTGCACGTACCGATACACTACGTTGCGATTTATGCATGGTAGCAAGTATTTTCCTAGTTTGGTTCGAATGGATGATCTGTCGTCCAACGGTTGAGTGGCTTCGAAGCCCACTCGGAAAGGTAGCATTCATTCCCATGAGCTTTGTCCACTGTAATCATCCACATTATGACACTCACATAGTAATCACTCGTTTGGCTTCACTTTGAATAATCGTCATGAACATGTACCTCCTCGAACGTTGAACAGGGTCAAAATTATGTCTAACGGGTTGAATTCCCAAGTAATTGGCTTCTAGGTGTCATATTCGCTGATGAGAACACTGAAGCCTTCATCACTGGCAATGCATGGGAGTTCAAGGTAAAGGCGATGTCATCGTCCCACGCATTACAGACCCAACACCCCATGTGAATGGAAGCAGAAGGACTGGTATGTCTCGCAACCTCCCGTGCCATTAAACTAACAGAGGATTGGCGCAGGCGTGTTGGCTCTGGCGGATTCCATTCTACAAGCACAAGAGGCTGATGTCCAGATGGTTTGCCCATGTGCTCTGGCCATTGGTCGACACGACTTGGCCCACAGGCGCTGGCATGGGCAACCCGTGTTTTACCTCACCCACGCGGCCGCGCTAGGAGCTCGACAACGAGCTGGCGGGGTTGGTTCAATTGAGAAGCTCTTGGTGGGGTTCTCCCTCTTTCAGGGTCCTAGGTCTCAACCACGATCTTCTCCTGAACACTGCGGTTATGGTATCAGCGTTTCGTTGCACGCTTCGAGAGCAGCTAACGTAGATGCTACCTCACCATCCGGCGTATTGATTAACGCTATCCAATGTACACCATACAACATGTCCGGTCGAGTGACCATCGAAATAAAACGCAGCCGTTTTGTGTAGAAGTCTATATAGCGGTGCTGTCCATTTTCCAACACATAGCTGTTGCTTGATGCTCTACCTCACTGCTTCTTCAACGTATACGCTTTCTTTAACAATTCAACTTGCCAAGAGCCTCGAAACCGCTTCAACGCAATCTTCTCTTAGCCTCGAGCAATGAGAGAATACCATGGCTTCTCTTGGTGGTAACATTTTACCCCTCGACCTTGATCTCAAGACTACCTTTGCTGGACTAAGTGCAGTAGCCCTCAGCGGCCTACTCTTTTCCAAGCTCCTTGCAAAGAATGACGCGGAAAGCCTAGAGACCCCCGGCCTCTTCAAGTCTTTCCTGCTCTTCTTTTACTCCTGCTTCATCAAGCCGCACAATGGCGACAAGGGCAACCAGCAGGATGCCCTAGAAAGCTTCTATAAGAAGCAAGCCGGCGCGTATGATGCTACCAGGAAGGTCCTCCTGCAAGGCAGAGAGGACATGCTTGCGCTTGTTGCAGCACAGCTGAAGGCCAAAGGTCCCAAAAAGGGCAATAAGGCAAAGCGAGTCTGGGTTGATGTAAGTCGTCCTGACAGTCACACTAAACCTTTCGAAACTCGACTAATAATGAATAGGTTGGTGGAGGAACAGGATGGAACATTGAGGCTATGTCTAGCTTTGTCAATGTGCCCGAGTTCTTCACAAGCGTCTACCTCGTTGATTTCTCCCCGTCTCTATGCGAGGTCGCCCGACAGCGCTTCGAACGCCTTGGCTGGAACAATGTCAAGGTCGTTTGTGAGGACGCGAGGAAGTTCCGACTGGAAGATTATGAAAATGATCTCCCAAGTAATCGCATCCCTCCTCGCTCGCCTGTCCTGAGCTACTTCTCTCAGAAGCGTGCTGAGCACGGCGGCGCGGACCTCATCACCATGTCTTACAGCTTGTCCATGATTGTGAGTTATCTAAAGAAGTCTTCTTTGAAATGACTTCAACTAACGATCTGTCCAACAGCCTGACTACTACTCCGTTATCGAGTCCCTTACGTCGCTTCTGTCCCCCGATGGCGTCATGGGAGTCGTTGACTTCTACGTTCAGTCCAAGACCGACTTCTCCTTCCGCAACTTCACTGGTGGACTGGTTGGGCGTCACGTCAACTGGTTCTTGAGGACCTTTTGGCGCGCTTGGTTTGACCTTGACCGCGTTGGTCTCGAGGCTAGCCGCCGCGACTATCTCGAGTACAAGTTTGGCAGTGTCCTCAACATCAACACCCGTAACTACAGTCTCGGTCACATTCCTTACTACATCTGGGTTGGATGCCATAAGAAGCCCTTCTCTGCTACCAGTCTCCCGCATGAGATCATTGAGAAGATCGACGCCCTTGCTACAGAGTCGCCGTATCTGTTGCCTGCTAACGCGGGCGATGCTCTGACCCGCGCCATTGATCGATCGGCCCCCGAGATCCGTTCCAAGGCTTTCATGGCAGCCATCCAAAACTTGTCCGCAAGCCTACCGCTGCCCTCCTTCTTCTACCAGAACCACCACTGGCGCATCTACTACGATGATCAACTTCAGAAACACACTCAGTTCAACGATGAATACATCTACGCGTTTACATGGGAAGACTCGAGAGTAGACGAGCATCTTTTGAAGCTCGGCTCTGACGACGTGGTTCTGGCAATTACCAGCGCCGGCGACAACATCCTCTCCTACGCAATGCAGAGCCCTGCCAGAATCCATGCTGTCGACTTGAACCCTACCCAGAACCACCTCCTGGAGCTCAAGGTTGCGTCTTACACTGCTCTTCCCTACGAGGACTTCTGGAAGCTGTTCGGAGAAGGCAAGCATCCGGACTTCCGCTCGCTGCTCCTGAACAAACTCTCCCCCCACCTTTCCAGCCGCGCATTTCAGTACTGGCTCAACAACGTCCACGTCTTCACCAACACAAAGGGCTACGGTCTCTACGACACCGGCGGCTCCCGCCATGCCATCCGCGTCTTCCGCTGGATTTCACGTGTCTTTGGTTGCCGCGCCGCCGTCAAGGAGCTCCTGTCTACGAAAACCCTCAACGAGCAGCGCGAGGTCTGGCGCACCAAGATCCGCCCCGCCCTGCTGTCCAAGCTCGTCTGCAAGCTTGTCGTCAGCCAGGAGAGCTTCCTCTGGGCGGCCCTCGGCGTCCCCAAGAACCAGCTGGCCATGATCGAGAACGATCACGCCGAGAGCGAGGCCGTCAAGGGACCCTCCCCAACCGCCCGCAAGGTCCGGTCCCACGCCATCTGGCGCTACATGGTCGACACCCTGGACCCCGTCGCCGAGCAGACGCACATCGCCGCCAACAACCCGTACTACCACGTCTGCATGACGGGCGACTTCACGAGGCGGTGCCACCCAGACTACCTGTCAGAAAAGGCCCACGCCAAGCTCTCGCGCGCCAATGCCTTTGACGGCCTGCGCATCCACACGGACGAGATTGACGAGGTCATCAACCGCATCACTCCCGGAACGCTAACCGTCGCCGTCATCATGGACAGCATGGACTGGTTCGACCCCGGCGCCCCGGCCGCGGCGGCGCAGATTACGAAGCTCAACCGCGCTCTCAAGATGGGCGGCCGGGTGCTGCTTCGCTCGTCGGCGCTGAGCCCTTGGTACGTCAAGGTTTTTGAGGCCCACGGCTTCTCGCCCAAGAGGGTCGGAGCTCGTACGGACGGAGCCTGCATTGATCGTGTCAACATGTATGCGTCGTGCTGGATCAACACCAAGGTTGAGAATCTTCCTCCACCGACCCCTGAGATGGACCAAATGGGAGGTTCTGAGATCACCAGTTTCTCCCTCTAAGTGTAGTACATCTGTGCCTCGGTGAGGAAGTGTGGTGAAGATAAGAGTAATGATTGACGGTAGGCTGGGTGTTGTGAGTACGGCCGTGTATTATGCGGCTGCGGATTGCTTAGGGTTGGTTCGAGATATGTGACCAGAATATGATTTAGCGTAAGATAAATTTTCTAAATAATGATACTTATCGGGATTCTTCAATCTTGACCGAATGAGCTTTTAGTCTGATGTTCGTAATTTCAACATTGGAACTTTGTTGTGAGAGACGTTTCGTCAGTTACAAGGAAGCTCCACCTCAACATGAGATTCAGACTCCTGGAGGTTTCGCTGACACACGTACGATCTATAAAAGAGATCTAAATCTCTAGCGAGTTGTCGTCCAAGTCACTTATTTAGTCCATTTTCTCCGTGGATTGCTTCCAACCTTACACACCGCATAGCAGTGATTTGACCTGCCTAAGATCGAACGCCTCATCCGTCTCGGATAAACATTTAAGCTCTGTCGTCCTCAAGCCGACTCACATATAACTTCACCTGCAGAACTGCCGCACCAGGTTCATTGACAAAGAATCCAATTTTGCCTAGACTGGTGATTATACACTTGCCGTCCCAATTCTAAACCCTGGCGCCCCCTGAATCACATACAGTAAGCCGACTTCAGCACCATTTTTCTGGTACTGGTATCCTAGCATGACGTCTCCGCCTCCCCTGTCGCATCCTCAATCGGATATTACTCCCAGATGACCAGCCTTTTGTTTGCTGTTAAACAGGACAGAACGACAGCCCAACCCAATGTCTCCCCCAAATTAAGCCTTCCACAGACGCGCGACAGCCTCAGTGACACCGACGTCGCTGGTCTCAAACTCGTACAGGCCGAGGCCGACCAGCGCAGTGGCAACGTTGAGTCCCCACATGGTAGCCTTGCGCGACTTGGGGTAGTGCTTGGTGGGAACGTAGTCGATGATGATGTTCTGGAAGCCGGTGTGGGAGTGGATGAGGATCATGGCGCAGAGAACGGCGTCGGTCGTGGGGTTCAGGGAGCCGGCAGCGAAGGGGGCGATGGTAATGGGGACGAGGCCGGCGGCGAGGATACGGTCGAAGCTCCAGTGGTAGGAGCCGTGGGCGGGACTCGGGGGAGGGACGGGGGCAGGGTCGTTCACTAGAGGTTATCACGAGTTAGGCTATCCTGCGTTTTTTCGAAGTTTTGACTTTCACATGGGTTTTCGTACCTCCACCCTGAATGACCTCTGCAGTGATAGATTAGCAATGGTTCAATTGTAAATGTATAGCATGCAAGGTGATTGCAACGTACGAGGACCGACGGGCAACAGATCCCTCTTGGCGGTTGTGTGGAAAGCGGCGACTCTTGACGAGTTCTTGACGAAGGCGGAACGGATCGGGGTGGCCTGGGCCATACGGGCCGCCGTGGCGGTTTGCCGGAGAAGAGCAGGGCGCACAATCGAAGCCATGGTGATCGCTGGTAGTTCACGGGCGGTGCAATTGGTATTCGCAGGTGGAGGGAGGCGGGATGTCGTCGTCTAGAGGCTTGGGAGTTGAGAAGGAGTGCTAGGCTCAGAGTGCCGGAATCGATGATGTCCACTTAGCCGAGGGTAGGCACAAGTTCCGGATCGCGAAGACGGGCGTCTGACATTGGAAGGGCTATGATTGGCTAATGGTACCCCGATGGCTCCACGTGATTTCGGTCGACGAAGAAAGTCGGCAAGGGCCGGCCATCGGGCCAACGTACATGCGCGACGAGTCTTATCGGCATTGCGATAAGGGAAATTTTTGGAGCTCGGAGTGGGATCAGTTGCGCGACAGCTCTGGGTGACCTGTGTCAGTCATTGTGGTAGCTGGCAGGGTTGGTTTTCAACATCCTCAGACTCCCGTCCAGTGCTGAACTTTCCCTTGCCGCTCTTTTTTCAATGCATTCATAGATATCTACATTGTAATCAACATCACACCTAGTCCATCATGTCGTCGACATTGGTGGCCCGCCTCCCCGAATTACGGCGGAACATTTGCGTTCGATGCGCCACGCTTCCAGTGGCCCATTTCAGACAAAACCAGGCGAGATGGGTATCACAGAAGGTTGTGGAGAAGCGCAAGACAGGAGAGGAGGAGTGGGCAAGACGCGCCACAGCAATTGAGCAGGGAGAAATTCAGAACATCTGGGATGTATTCGAGGAGCGAGGTTACGTCAAGGACGTCGCAGGGTGAGTCGAGACCACCCCCCTCTCCGTTGTCGCTCCTCGAGACAATGTTTGCTGACCTGACCAAACTCAAGGCGCACACCACAGGTCAAAGAACTCTTGCGGACCAAGCGAATAGGCGCATACGTCGGCGTCGATCCCACAGCGGCGTCCCTCCATGTTGGCCACCTGCTCCCCTTTATGCCCCTTTTCTGGATGTACCTCAACGGGTATACGGCCGTGTCGCTGGTCGGAGGCGCTACAGGCAGGATAGGCGACCCGACGGACCGATTGAAGACACGCGAGGTCATGGCGAACAGCGAGGTCTCGATGAATATCACAAAGATCCATTACCAGCTGAAGAAGATTTGGGCAAACGTGGAAGCCCTGGGGCGAAAGTACGGCCACGAGGCGGACTGGGCGGCCAAGAGGCATCTCGTGAACAACAACATGTGGTGGCAGAGTTTGCCATTGTACGATGTCATGAAGAGACTGGGCCGATTCATGCGGATAGGGCCCATGCTCGGCCGCGATACGTGAGTTCTCACATAGGAGAATCCCACCCCACCCCTTTTTCGACGGAGTTGCTAACCCCCTGTCTAGAGTCAAGAACAAGATGGAAAAGGGCGACGGCATGTCTCTCGCAGAATTTACCTACCCCTTGATGCAAGGATGGGACTTTTGGCACCTGTACTCCAAGCTCGGCGTTCAGATGCAAATTGGAGGCTCAGATCAGTTCGGAAACATCGTAACGGGCATCGAGGCCGTCAAGACGATCCGCGCGTCCGAGGAGAACCCTAACATGCGCATGCCCGAGACCTGGAGAGACGACCCCATCGGCTTCACGGTGCCCCTCCTGACGGACAGCGCCGGCGCAAAGTTTGGCAAGAGCGCCGGCAACGCCGTCTGGCTCGACCCCTTTATGACAAGCGCTTTTGACCTCTACGGCTATTTCGCCAGGCGGTCCGACACCGAAGTTGAGAGGCTCCTCAAGCTCTTCACCTTCCTACCCACCGTCAGCATCGAGAAGCTCATGGTGGACCACGCAAGGAACCCGCCCGCGCGCGTCGCGCAGCACACCCTGGCCTTCGAGGTTCTCTCCCTCGTCCACGGCGCTGATGTCGCCATCAGGGAGCAGCAGCAACACCAGTTCATGTACAGCAAGGGATCCGGCACCCAATTCGCGGGCGCCTCGCCCGAGACGGCGGGACAGGACAACACCGTGGCCCCCTACAAGGCCGTGGAAGGCCACCCGACGACCCTCAACAACGCGCCCAAGATGGACATGCAGCTCCCCGAAAACCTCATCTACAACCAAGGCATCGCCCGCATCCTCTACGCCGCTGGTCTCGCCACCTCCGTCAGCGAGGGCCACCGCATCGCCCGCGCCCAGGGCGCCTACGTCGCAGCCGCGCCCGGCAAGGACATGCGCGGCCTCGTCCCAGGAAACCTCGACTGGACGCCCGTCAAGCTCTGGTACCCACAGGACGTGCCCAAGTTCCTCATTGACGGCCGTGTGCTCATCATCCGCAAGGGCAAGCACAACGTGCGCATCATCGAGGTCGTCAGCGACAAGGAGTGGCAGGACAGCGGCAAGGCGTACCCGGGCGAGCCCTTCAAGGGCAAGACGCGCGTGCTGATGCAGCAGCTCAAGGAGCTCGCCGCGGCCGAGGGCCGCAAGCTGTCGCGCCGCGAGCTGGAGCAGATGGTCAAGGAGAAGCTGGCCGCCGAGGAGGTGGAGGTGACCGTTGCGAATAATCCGGACATCAAGTTCCCCAAGAAGAGCGAGCGGCAGCAGGCGTTTGAGGAGGGCAAGTCGCGGGAGTAAATGAGAGGCTGTCACAGTCCTCGTATTTGAAATGTTTTGATGTATCACACCCGATACCATGTGCAAATATCTGTACAATGATCTGTACACTACCAAAAACTTAGAACAATGTAAAACCACCATGCTCATGACAATATTTTTCTCCCTCTCTCCCTCTCTTCCCAAAGTGAAACACGTCCTCAACGATAAAACACAGTCAAATCCCCGCTGGGCACCGGCAAAGCCTTGAGCTTCTCCATAATCTCTCCATCCGTAAGATTCTTTTCCGTAATAATCTGATCAAACGAGTGACACCCGTCCGTATACACCTGCAGCGCGTCCCCTCCCCCGCCACCAGCCCTGGGCCGCGCCTGGCCCGTCGCCAACCCCGCGAGGTACTGCTTGGACACGACGTACTTGTGCACGCGGTACAGGCACCCCTTGATGACGCCAAACTGCACCAGCCGCCTGACGTCCACGTACCGCAGCACATCGAACCCGGCCTCCTGGTGCGCGCGCAGCCACTCCATCACACTCTTCCCGACACAGAAGCTCGTCATGAGCTTGATGAGCATAAAGTTGCTCACGCGCTGCCGGGCGTGAATGCACACGTACGCCGCGCACTCGTCCACGATCCCATCCCGGTCCGCGACGAAGTCGTGGATTCCGGGGCGGGGCGCGTAGCAGCTGCCGAAGAAGAACATGTCGAGCAGCAGGACGGTATCGTAGTAGAGCAGGTGGCGCAGAGCCAGCGTGGCGAGGTCGAGCGAGACGTCGGCGAGCCAGGCGATGCGGCGGACGTCGTTTACGCCGTCAATGTGCGCGACGACCTTCTGCATCGTCAGGTCCCAGGTCTGGTCGACGATTTCGGCGAATTTCATCTTGGCGACGGGGACGTGCCAGCCGCGGACCTGCGGCGGGCTGGCGTGGTGCGGGAAGAGCTTCATGTTGATGGTGTTCGCGTCGTCTTTTTGGGCCCTCCGCGGTCAGCGTTGTCCCAAGATATTGGCGACGCGCGCAGAACGGTGGAGAAAGAAAAAAAAGGAGAGAGAGAGAGAGAGAGAGAGAGAGAGAGAGAGAGAGAGAGAGAGAGAAAGAGAGAGAGAGAGAGAGAGAGAGAGAGTATAACTTACCAACAGGAATCATGCACTCGCCATAGTTATTCAAATCCTCCTTGACAATCTCCAACAAACTCTCAATCGGTCTCCTCTCCCTCATCCCAGCTACTCCTCCTCCTCCTCCTCCCTCTCCACCGCTACCCTCCTGGCTCAAATACTCATTCTGCTTCTCCATCTCCTTGAACGTTACCGCCAACCGCCGCACAACGGGCTCATACTGCGCCAAGTCCGCGTCGGCTTCCAGCACCAGCCCAAAGTTGAAGATGAACTCGTTGCGCTGATACTTTTGGTGCGGGATCAGCACGGGGAACCCCAGCACCGCGTACTTGCCCTCCGGGTCCTGCACCGTCATGTACCGGTTGAAAAACGCCTTGCGCGGCACAATGTACTCCTGCATCACCTCCCAATCGATGAGCGGCGGCTTCATCGCGGCCGTTGTGCCGGCGCCGGGGGACGGCGTGGTGATGCAGCCCGGCGGCGACTGGGCCACGATGTGCGGGCCTACAATCGTAGTGGTTAGTTTGAGTGATGTGTTGTTGAGTGAAGACCTTCCGCGCAGCTGAAATGAGCGAGCGCATTGCGGCCCCTTGCAAAAAAAAATAAAAATAAAAATACGAGTACATACCCTCCTTGGGAAAGAATCTAGCATAGAAGATTCCTTGAATCATTTTCGCTACATCTTATCCGAACACGCTGTTGTGGGAGAAGGCTGACAGATTCAAGCCATGAACCGTGGTTTGTGGTTGGTAGTGAGCTGAGTTTCTTAGCCTGTAGACGCTACGGCGCCGATTTCTGGGCCGGCACACCTCAATCACCCGGCGCCGGTCTAAGCCGGATCGCGCCGGAGCTTGGGAACGACCATTCAATCAAGCCACCACTTTTAAATCAAGTGTGATACAAGGAGTTTGCTTGACCAGGATTAATAACAAACGCTCTCCGTGTTTCTAATTCCATCAATAACAAGGCTTCACGTGGTCTCCTTAGTCACGAAAGGATCCAAGAAATTGGGTTGTGAACTCTCATAAACATCATGCCTGGTTAATTTCCATATCGCCTCGGAAACTGCCAGAACCAAAGTGCGTGACAACTAGGTATGGTATGTACTTCCCTCCGTATCCTGTTCACAGGCCATTAAGTCATGCGTCCTCTTGAGACGCTTCCTGCTACCACTCTGCTCTCTCTCTCTTTCTTTCGCTCTCTACCCCACGATCATGTATTTCAAGTCATAATCAACCACTCAAGAGATGCTCAATCGCGCCTTGCACGCTGCCACCGCTGCGACGCAGAGCGGCTACATTCCTATCGAAGTCGAAAAAGCCCATATCGTTGAGTTGGCGCAGTTGCTCGGCATAACGCTCCTCAGGAGGACGGTTGTCTGGGGGAGCCGGAGAGCCTCCACCAGCACCGCCGCCTGCACCGAGACCCCACATGCTCATCATCTGCTGCATCATCTCTGGGTTGATCTGACCAAAAGGGGAGGCGCCAAAGGGGTTTGCGGGTGCCTGGCCTTGGCCTTGACCCTGAGCTTGGCCCTGAGCTGCGTAAGGAGGAGGGGCGAACAGAGCAGCAAAGGGGTTGGCCGGGGGTGGACTCGTTGTAGAGTTTGTGCCCTGTCCACCCGCTGCAGCGCCTGTCGTTCCAGTAGCTCCGGCACCAGCTGTAGTCTGGGCATTATCGCCAGTCGCCGCGCCTGCACCAGGAGCTGCACCTTGAGCACCGGGTTGCTGAGGCGCAAACGGACTACCAGGGCCAAAGAGCGCACTGAGATCACCTAGTCCCTCCATGCCCATTCCACCGGCGCCGCTACCAAAGCCCGGGAAACCCGCGGGGAAGCCAAATGGGTTGGGAGGCTGACCCGTGTTGCCGCCAGCAGCCGCAGCTTCGGCAGGAGTAGTGTCGGTGGCACCAGGCGCAGGGAACGCAGCGTTGCCGCCTCCGCCGGCCATGTTGCGCTGCATTCTCATGACATTGCGAAGCATGTCTGGGTTGGTCATCATCTGGCGCATGAATGGCGACTGGATAATCTCTCGTGCGTTGGGGACATTGCGCAGGTGGGGGTTGCTCTGAATCATGTAGTTGATGAAGTCGGGGTTGTCGAGGGCAGCGTTCATGGTCTGGAGCATGGAAGGATCGGAGAGCATCTGGGCCAACTGGTCGTCGGATGGCGGGGCACCCATCTGGAAACGTAAGATTAGTTTATGCCACGCAAGACTCGCCGCGGCACTCTAGGAAACTTACTCCTCCGTCAGCTCCAAATGTCTCGCGACTGGGCAGATTGATGTGTCCGGCGTATCTGGCTCCGGTAAGGCCAGCGAGAATGTTGTTGGCAGTGCCAGCGGCCATGTTGGAGGGCACGGCGGGTGCGGCAGGCGTGGAGGCTGAAGCTGCGGGCTGAGGAGCTGGGTTGCTGGCTGCGCTCTTCACCATGTGGATGGTGTTGTTGGGCTTGATCTTGTAGGTGGCGAGTGTGTCGTCGTTCTTCATTACGCGACCAGAGTAGATAAGACGCTGGCGCTCGACGGGAACGTTCTCGAAGTCTTCGCCGGCCAATTTGGTCTTGAGGTCGAGTACGGAGGCAGATTCAGACATGGTGATGGTGTGGTTGCTATCCTGGCCCGTCTTCACCTTGAAGGTGACCTGGGCATCGGCGGTGCCCTCTGCGTTGTCGGCCATGACCTCGTGTGTTGCGGGTTCGTGGGCGCGATCGGTGGAGGTGCTTGGTAGTCAGGCAACGTATGGATGTGTACCTAGTATATGACGGCGACTCGGTCTTGTAAAGGCCTGAGAATGGCTCGGAGTGGTGGTGGAGAGGCAAAGATGTGAGGTGTTGGAGGGAAAGAAAGAAGTTGTTGGGAATATGTGGACAAGACGACCGAATGCGAGGTCAAGCTGGGGCAAGGTGGAAGTCACTTAGGCAGGTAGAATAAGGTAGGTGGCCGGAGGGGAGCTGCGCAGGATTGGGTGTTTGTGTCGTTGGTGACGGTAGGTGGGCTCCAATGATGGATGGCGTCGGGGAGGGGCAGCAGCCAGCAGCCAGCAGCAGCACTGGAGGCGATGAGGTGCCCAGAAGCAAGCATGGGCCAGTTCTACGAGGTGCGGTGGAACGGACACCTTACGCAATGGAGCGGGAGGGTGAGATAACTACGGTTAGCGCTGGACCGTGCCCACTGAGGGTGCTGTCGCTGTGCGGCGTCGGTACTTTAAATGGTGACTCGTGGTCCTGGCAGCCTGGGCTCACCTCAAGGATGGCAGCCCATCTTCTTAGCAGGTATTACCTCCCAAACGGAACAGGTTGAATTAGGCACCTTTTGCCGCAGCGCGCTAACGCCGGTGGGAGCGGAAGGTGCAACATACAGGGGGTTCTCAGCTAATGTCACTTTTGACAGCTCTGTCAAAGTCGACGTCTCTGCTGGCGGTGCGTTGCCTTCCATTTGATGCAAGACGATCAGCAGGAATTACATTGGCACTCTACTATCTCTGACATGAAGGGCAGTGGAATGATTCTATTGGGAAAGAGATCAATGCTCGCCCGCGATGATTGACGAAGCCGCATTGTCAGGATCACCTGTATCGAATTCCACGTCTCTCAATTCCCACGCGGGAAGCGACCAGCCACCCTGGACGACCCCAACTTAAAAGTAGCCTCAGGTCACACCCACAGTCATCTCTTCCATTGTCATCCATCGACTTCTACCTCTAATTCACGATGGCGATACAACTCGGCATCAAATAGCGCGCGATCAATTCGGCCCCCATCCACAAAGCGTTGGAGCTGGAATACCTAATCTCTTGAAGAAAAAGTTTCGTAGTCAATGTTGGAATTGTGCCTACCCTCGAGTAACGGAGCAGCCTCATTCAATCGTACGCTCACAAGTGTGAAGTCGTCGTTGACAATTTAGGTAGTCCATGGGTACGGAGTATATACAGCGCAGATACAAATCCGACTTTGACCAGATGTGCAGAGCATAAGCAACAACCTAATTCAGACAGTCCAGTAACTAGGGCCATCCACACGCCACAGCTGTAGCCAAAATGACGACAACAGCTGATGCCGGTGGGTTGTATCTCTCTGATTACCAAAGAACCTCTACCTAATCTGCATCTCGGAGTACCTAGATCTTGGACTCTAAGGTAGGCGCTTGGGCCATGTCTCTCTGCTGCTCACCGAGCCTCCTCCACATCCCCGGAATTCACACACCGAAGAGGCCCCAAATTCAGCCAACGAGGGGCCGCAGACGTTGCCTCGGCTCCCCCCCTCCTCGGCGTCTCCAAGACCCCCGGTCCGGGGTAGCAACGCGTAGAGAACCTCGAGACTAACGACAGCTCCTATCTTCAATCTCAGATTCATACAAACTCAATATATCCATCTTCCATCTCATCCGGTTTTCTGCAGAGGTTTCTCATATACAAACATCGTCCAGCTTTACACAACACCTGACTCTCTACTCATCTCAAATCAAGTACCTTACCTACCTAGAGTGCCAGACATCACAGTAGAACCCATTTTCACAATGCGCGGCATTCAGATTAAGGAATATGTCAAGGTGAGCTTCATCAGCATTCACGAACCACTTCTTCCCAGAGGAACACTCAATCTAATAATTCAAAAGTCTCCCAAGGAGCTCCGCGTGACGGATCTCCCAGACCCAGTTCCCAAGAAGGATGACGAGTACCTCATCCAAGTCCACGCCACGGCCGCCAACTTTTTTGATATTCTCCAGATCCAAGGGAAATACCAGACTCAACCTCGTACGGTCCTCCCATCACATACCCTCCTTTCGAAACTCATTGCACAAGATCTCAGTAAAGCATACTAAAACGAGAGACCCCAGCTTTTCCCTGGACATCGGGCTGCGAATTCGCAGGCATCGTCCTCAAAGCCCCCTCGGCAAACGCGAAATACCCCGTCGGCGCCCGCGTCTTCGGCGCCACCCAGGGTGCCTTCGCCTCCCAGTGCGTCGCCCGCGAAAAGGAGCTCCTCCCCGTCCCAGACGGCTGGTCCTACACCGAGGCCGCCGGCCTCTTCATCACCGCGCCCACCTCCTACGGCGCCCTCGTCGTCCGCGCCGGTGTAAAGCCCGGTGACATCGTCCTCGTCCACGCCGCGGCCGGCGGCGTCGGCCTCGCCGCGGTGCAAGTCGCAAAGGCCTTTGGCGCCACCGTCATCGCCACGGCCTCCACCCCGCGCAAGCTCGACGTCGCAAAGGCCTTTGGCGCGGACCACGTCGTCGACTACCGCGAGGCCGACTGGCCCGCCAAAGTAAAAGCCCTCACCCCCGGTGGACGCGGCGTCGACATCGTCTACGACCCCGTCGGCATGGTCGATGCCAGCACTAAATGCACGGCCTGGAACGGCCGCATCCTCATCATCGGCTTCGCGGCGGGCAAGATCGAAAAGGTGGCCATGAACAAGGTGCTCCTCAAGAACATCAGCCTCGTCGGCATCTTTTGGGGCCAGTACGCCGTCAAGGAGAAGGAGACCGTCGTCGAGGTGTGGAAGGGCATCATGAAGCTCGTCGCCGAGGGGAAGCTGCGTGGCACGGAGTTCACCGACGAGGAGTTTGTCGGGCTCGAGCGCATCCCGGACGCGCTGATTGCTCTGGGAAGCCGGGGGACCTGGGGTAAGGTCGTTGTCAAGATCCCACAGGATGGTCAGAGCAAGTTGTAGAACAATATTGCTGCGAGAGTGTCGTTTTCTTGGCGATTAGAGCGAGGCATATCTAGATCGACTTTTGGATTAGTCACTTATGCCACCAATGCAAGTATTCGATAAAACCCGCGTTGCCTTTAAACGGGTGTTTCAGACGTTGTGCTTCAAATTGTTCTTGTATTCACATTTGCCATTGCCAGGAGATGCGCCATGAGCACCTCTCTTTCTCTATCTGACAGCCTCATCATGAAATCATAATCATTCCCATGTTTTCCCGTCTATTACAGCTGAGTCCTGACGACCAGCTCACGCAAACGCAGCAGCTGCAGCACTGGCTCTCTATGCGCCCGTGATCTGCGTCAACGACCAAAACTTCTGTAAAACGTCCTTGTCCACATTGACAGCCCACTCCTGCTCAAACTGCTGTTCGCCACCGGAGCGCTGAACGACATCCTGCAGCCTCTCCTTGACGAACCTCATGGCGTTGATCGTGTGCACGGGGTCCTTGGCGCCGAACTCCGTCTCCTTGATGCTCTTTGGCGTATCGTAATCCGTGGGCTCGAGTTCGCCCCAGATGAGCGAGTCGGTGCCGTCCGTCGTGCCGTCCTGGAGTTCGGCAATGGTGCCCACCCACAGCGTGAAATAGTCCTGCAACTTGCTCAGTGTAAGGTTCTGCATGGGCTGCGGGAGCTCCATCAGGCGCGCCAGGGCCAGGAGGGACAGCTTCTGCCTAGGAAGATGATCCAGCCCGTCAAGGTGGGAGAACCACTCGCCGCTGAGCCAGGCCCAGACCTGCTCCAGGGGCCCGAAGGATGTAAGCATGGTGACGAAGAGTGTCGGGTCGGCAGTAAGGAGTCGCGAGAGAATTGCAAAGTAGTCACGTTCTGTTATCGTGTTGAGCTTGCTGACCTTCCTGTTCGGCCCGGTCGTCTGGTGTGCCTCCCAAGCATCATGGAGAGCCTCCATAATCTTCTTCAAGAAACCAAGTTCGAGAAGATCCTGCATAATCACCTGGGTTCCGCCGAGCTCAGAGGCGGCCCGGATCAGGTATTCAATGCACACAGTGCCGAGTCTGACCTGTTCTCGGCTTCTAGAGTCGAGAACACCTGACAGAGCGACTAAGAACGGACGCCGCAGTCTATCTTCCATAACAGCTTGTGTGCCAAGGAGAATGTAGGATTCAACCACGGACAATGCCTGGGCAGCAGTCTCCGTTTGATACTCCAAAAGGGGAAGTGATAATTCTGCGATGCTCATGATGTCGGCGGATAAGGGTGGGTTGCTCTGCATGAGAACGGAGTTCCATAGCTCCAATGCCTCGTCAATCAGGTACGTGTGCAGGTCGGAGCCCGGCTTGGCTGCTTCTGATAGCAACGGGACCATCAGGTGATGATACCTCTGAGAGTCGCTGCCCATGGACATGACCAGCGCAGCAAAGATGGCGATAATAGCTTGCTTGATCATGTATTCCTCCGTTCCAGAATTTTCCCAAATGCTCGGCAGGCTTGACATGATAAAGTCTGCAAACTGAGAGACGTAATTCTCTAGTCTCGTGACCAAGATACGCATGGACTCCAGCACGGCGAGCTTGGTCTCGTCCACGTCGACGTTTTGAATGAGCTGAAGTAGCTCATTAAGCACATCAGCTGCATAGGGGAGGAAAGCCTCTGCGCTAAAGGCAAGCTCGTCCACGATCCACCGCAGCTGACGCGCGGCTGTGATTCTGACGACAATGTCGTTGTTCGGGTCCGCAGGATTGAGAAAGTGGCGGAACATTTCGTAGATGAGTGGTCTACTGTTGTCGGCGATCTTGACCGTAACCCATTGACTAACCATGATTGCAATGCGTCTGCGGAGAACCTTATACAGGGGTCCTTGTTGCTGCGCATCTTGAAGAACCGTCGAGACCAGGAGGCTGTCAAAATCGAAAGCATTCATGACGTTGGGTGCAGCCAAGCCCATAGCCGTATACACTGCTTCCTTTGTAGCGATATCTGACTGTGAGTTTGACGCGGTTTGAAAG